TTGGGTAAAAAAAAAGTCGTTTTAATCTAGTGCTGTCACGTGACACTTCATCCAAAATAGGAGTATTTTTGTTCCAAAGTATGACAGTAGGGGTATAGATAACCCAAAGTTAGATGGAAGTGCCGCATCTTTTTTTAGTTGAACTTTTTATTCGGGTCGGGTCAATGTTTGGGGCAGATTAGTCCGTAAAACAGTTAGATATGGGTTAGTCTTTTTAATAGGTTAGATGTTTTAATTTCGTCCAATAAGAAGTTGTCACGTGGAATTTAAATAATAATTATTTTTAATTCAACATTGGTCTAACAGTCAAAGGGCATAAGTGAACTAAAAAGGTGGATGGAGGGGTGTTTTTAACCTAATAGGTGAATGAAGGGTATTTTTAAACCTTTTTCAATAATTTAGGGGCATTTTTATCCTTTTTTCCGTTTTAAAATTATTTTCGTGGTTTGCTAGGGGCTTGCTACTCAAGTGGGCAAGAGTAGGGGTGTTCATAAAAACCCGAAAACCCGAACCAAACCGACTAAAAAATCGATACTTTTTAGGTTTGGTTTGGTTTTGGTTTTGAATTTTAAAAATCGATCAAATTTGGTTTGGTTTTGGTTCTAATAAAAAAAATAACCGAACCAAACCGACTATAAAAGTAGCTATTTAAATTTATTATTACACCTATATATGTGTATATTTTTATATAAAGTTTCTAAAATCTTATGGTACATCTTAGTCATTTATATTTTTAGTCTAGTTCTTTGCTATTTAATAATCTAATTCTTTTGCCTTTACATTCTAGTTTGATTAGTAGTTTTCTTTTGCTAAGTATAAAAAGAATTTATTTCATGTTAAAAATAATCAATTTTTAATTGAGTAGTTAAATTATTCATCACTATTGATTCAATTATCATCAATATATCTTGGTAAATGATAGATTTCTCAAAGAACAATTGATTTGATAGTGTTATGTTGAAAATGTAGTAGCCGGAATATCCGTTTAGTTGTGTATGTCTCATATTTAAGAAAAACCCCGATAAATGACCGAAAAACCGACAAAAATCGAAGCGATAAAAATCGACTTAATTGGTTTGGTTTGACTCCGATATTTGAAAAACCGACTTACTTGGTTTGGTTTCTTTTTCGAAAAAAACCGACCCAAACCGAACCATGAACACCCCTAGGCAAGAGTTTGCACTCCGTGCATGAACACCGGTGTAACCATGCAAGAGTACTACCATCCTAATCCCATGGTGCCAACTGCCAAGTAGCAAATTTCCAATATAGAATATTTAATTTAAGACTATATAATTTAAAAAATTATTCCATCAATTAGTGGTTTATTAATTGTTCACCAAATATAGTTGATCCATATTTCATCTATACATAACAACTCTCAGAAAACTTCTTGGCTTAAAAATCTCATGCTCCTCAAACCAACATAGTTAAAGAAGGTTAACTAACAATAGAGTTTTAGAATTTAGAGCATATATGCTTCATCACACTAAATCCTCATAGTCCCCCAATAACTTCCCCTATATATACCCTTTAGTACTAATAATCAAACTCATCTCAACTCAAAACACAATTGAATTTGCTTGGAACACAAAGCAATCTAGCAAATTAAGCCATAACAATGGCTTCTTCCATCAATTGCTCAATCCTCTTCTTGATCATAGCATTATTGTCCTTATCAAGCATCAGCACAACACATGCTGCTCGCGGCCTACTTCAGCTTCCAAACTTGCCTACATTCCCATCACTGCCTCAGCCAACAATGCCACAGTTGCCCACTATTCCTAACTTGCCAACAGCAGCCACATTGCCACCATTGCCAACACTTCCAACAGCAACATCATTGCCTTCTTTGCCTGCTTTGCCCTCTGTACCAAAGGTGACTCTGCCACCAATGCCTGCTATGAATCCTATTCCCAACATGCCTTCACTTCCTACCATTCCCACAATTCCAACCATGCCTACACTTTCACCTCCTCCATCCAACTAATCTTGTGGCTGTGACATTTTAATTGTCTTAATTAATTTCCCTGTTTGATCGTATTTCTTCTTCTTTTTTCGCTTTTCATTTCAATCTTTTGAGAGATTCTTACGGTTTATGTATCGTATCATTTGTATTTTCTTGAGTGTTATCTACTCATTGTCTCTTATGTTTTGAAGTAGATGTGAGATCCATGCTTTCAACTTATTATCGTTTGTGTGTGTACTTACTAACTAACGTCGTATTTGCGTCCACTCTGTTCATAATAACTTCCTCTTGTGAACAAAGATTATGGCTTTTAAATAGACCGATCAGGTTAAAACGAAAAAAATATGCAGCAAAGTCAATTCTTATGATCAATATTGTGCAAGCTTTTGAGAGTGAAACCATTGTATACGGTCTAAATCGGAGAGCTTGATTTCGAAGACTTGATTATACCCCGAGCTCGAGTTCGGAAGCTCGAAGTAAGAATCGAGTCTGGCTTGGATATGCGCACCTCGAGAAGCCAGTCGGAGACCCGTCGTGATCTGCTTCGAGGGCAGTGCAATTTCGATGACACTCAAGAAAGAGCGGGAATTTCTCAAGGACACATGGATCAGGGCATAAATTAAAGGATAAGATTTGTACGAAATAGTACGAGTCCATACTAGGTTGTTATACAGGTGTGCCAATAGAATTCGTTACCACAATTAAGAATGTATTATATTGAGGTTTTCTCCTCCTATATAAAGGGGACCCCAATCATTTGTGAAAAACGCATTATTCACTGCAATAGAATATTCTACTCTGCTTTTCTCGTGCACCACAATTGTTCTTCAGTTTTATTGTTCTACTTTATTGTTTTTACCTTATTTCCTCTTAACTCACCTCGAGGCCTCCAAGATAATCGAGTTCGAGGTCTCCGTTGTTCTAACAACACTGGTTTGGCTCATCAATTCTTCTTATTTAAACCTAATATTACTTGTATATTCGCTAGTATTGGAATAAATTACATATCTTTAAAACAACAAATCATCTTTAATTGCTACTCACATTTTTCGAGATAAATAGTTTGGCGCCCACCGTGGGGCTAAAGATAATAGTGATTATTTCGTTACTAATTCTCGTTACACATGTTATCTTTATATTTTTTCTTGTCAAGATTTTTTTATTCTCAGGCTTAGACATGTTTAGCACACAGAATGCACATATTCACAACGACGAAGGTCTTGAAGAAAATAGTTGTATAGGGATCGGTGTACCACCCATAGACCCTGAGAAAGTTCCAAATATGGAGCCGGTTGATATCAGCTCGCAGAACGATATAAATGTGGATTCAGGTGCAGACCCCGTAGGGAATGCGCATAGGGAAGCCCGGCCCGATGGCCAAAGAACACGAGGAATGGAAGAAGGAGGAGTTAATTTTAGCTTCAGAGTCAGGATAGAACTCCAAACACAGGCGAACCAGTGAGCACTCGACGTGCTGAACCAGCGGTTGAAAGACCCGCTAAAAGCGGCTCGGGAACAGACCACACGGTTATGAGAATGCTCGAAGAGCTCGCCAAAAGGATTGAGACCGAAGAAAAGAAGATTGAAGAAAATGACAAAAAGGTGGAGACATACAACTCTAGGGTCGACCAGATACCGGGAGCACCTCCGATTTTGAAAGGACTGGACTCGAAGAAGTTCGTGCAAAAACCATCCCCCCAGAGTGTGGCTCTGAAGCCCATCTCAAAGAATTTTCGGATGCCAAATATCCCAAAATACAACGGAACCACTGATCCCAAAGAGCACATCACCAAATATACTTGTGGCATAAAAGGAAATGATTTGGAAGACGATGCGATTGAGTCTGTTTTGCTAAAAAAGTTTGGGGAAACTCTATCTAAAGTTGCCATGATTTGGTACCATAACTTACCCCCGAACTCTATTGATTTGTTTGCCATGTTGGCAGACTCATTTGTAAAGGCACACACCGGTGCCATAAAAGTCACAACAAGGAAGTCTGATGTATTCAAAATAAAGCAAAGGGAGAACGAGATGTTGAAGGAGTTTGTGTCCCATTTGCAGTTAGAACGAATGGAGTTACCGCCAGTATCCGATGACTGGGCCATACAAGCCTTCACTCAGGGGCTAAATGAACGAAGTTCGATAGCTTTGAAGCAGCTAAAGCAGAACTTGATCGAGTATCCCGCCATGACTTGGGAGGATGTGCATAACAGGTACCAATCAAAAATTAAGGTCGAGGATGACCAGTTGGGAGCCCCTTCGGGCTCAGTTTATCCAAGCAGGTTACTAGCAAAAGAGTCAGGAAATGCAGACAGGGGTCAAGGATGAATAAGGAAAAATATCAGCCATACGTCGAGGATCGAAGGAACATTCTGAGGTGTATCATACCTCGGAATGATCGAAGAGCAGATCGACGTCAAAGTTCCCGGGGGATCATGAGCAAAACCGATTTTGATAGGCACTTGGGATCGGCAAAGGCACCCCGATTATCGGAGTACAACTTTAGCGTCGATGCCTTGGGTATCGTCTCAGACATTAGCAAAATTAGAGATACTATATGGCCCAAACCTATACAGACCGATCCTTCTCATAGGAACCCCAACTTGATGTGAAATATCATAGGCATAGGACCGAGGATTGCAGGCAGCTTAGAGAGAAGGTAGCCTGGTTGTTCAACGAGGGGCATCTTCATGAATTTCTCAGCGACCGGGCCAAGAACAATTTCTAAGAAAGAGAAGCAAACAGGAAGATTGAGCCCGAAGAACCTCAACATGTCATTCATATGATCATCGGAGGAGTCGATATCCCACAGGGCCCCATATTCAAACATACCAAAGTATCTATTACAAGCGAGAAGCGGACTCGGGACTACATGCCCGAGGACACCCTTACATTTAGCGAGGAAGACATCGAGGCCTTATCTCAGCCTTACAACGATGCACTAGTAATTTTTATCCTTTTAAATAAAGTTCAAGTTAAACATATTCTCGTGGATCTAGGTAGCTCAACAAATATAATCAGATCAAGGGTCATGGAGCAGCTCGGGCTGCTTGACCAAATCATACCTGCCTCTCGAGTCCTGAATGGATTCAACATGGCAAGTGAAATAACGAAGGGGGAAATCATCCTCCCAGTCAACGTAATCGGAACTATACAAGACACCAGGTTTCATATCATCGAAGGAGATATGAGGGATAATGCTTTACTTAGAAGGCCGTGGATCCATAGCATGAGGGCAGTGTCATCAACCTTTCATCAAATGATGAAGTTCCCAACAAAGGATGGCGTGAAAACAATATACGGAGAGCAGCATGCAGCTAAGGAGATGTTTGCAGTACATGACTTGGCACAGGTATCGACACCACCCATATCGGAAAAGTCAAAGGACAAACAGGTCACCAAATAGCAATCACAACCCATACCCTCTGTTGAGCCCGAGGTACAGGTGATCGATGAACAGGTGGTTGGGGACGAAGAAGAAGATTTTCTCACCACCACCCCCCCCGAGCCTTTGTTACCCCTCGAAGAATCGGATGCGACGAAGTCCATGGTCGAAGAACTCGAACAGGCCATGTTGATCAAGCATCTTCCAAAATGAAAGGTATACCTGGGGACGCGGTTAACCCCCGAACTCAGGAAAACCCTCATTCAATTTCTTATCGATAACATCGATTGCTTTGCCTGGTCCCACTTAGATATGATAGGGATCCCACCGGAGATAACTACCCATTGACTGAGCATCAATCCCGTATTTAAACCGGTAAAGCAAAAGAGGATACCTCAGTCCAAGGTAAAGCATACATTAATCAAAGAAGAGGTAACCAAACTTCTCAAGATAGGATCCATTAGGGAAGTAAAATATCCCGAATGGCTAGCTAACGTAGTAGTAGTCCCTAAAAAGGGAAACAAACTTAGAATGTATGTAGACTATAAAGGTTTGAACAAAGCATGCCCTAAAGATTCTTTCCCACTGCCCAACATCGATCGATTGATCGATGCTACCACTCGCCACGAGATCCTTATTTTTCTCGATGCCTACTCCGGGTACAATCAAATTCAAATGAACCCAGAGGACCAGGAAAAGACTTCGTTCATCACGAAGTATGGTACATATTGCTATAATGTAATGCCCTTCGGGCTAAAGAATGGAGGAGCTACGTATCAGCGCCTAGTTAATAAGATGTTCGAACATCAAATAGGCAAATCTATGGAAGTTTATATTGATGACATGCTAGTTAAGTCCTTGCGCACAGAGGACCATTTGACTCATTTGCATGTGACGTTCGATATCCTAAAAAAGTAAAACATGAACCTCAACCCCGAGAAATGTGCTCTTGGAGTCGGCTCGGGCAAGTTCTTGTGCTTTATGGAGTCGAACAGGGGTATCGAGATCAACCCCGATAAAATCAAAGCCATCGAGGAAATCGACGTAGTGAACAATGTGAAAGTCATACAACGGCTGACCAGAAGGATAGCTGCCCTAGGCCGATTTATCTTGAGGTCATCATATTGGAGCCATCACTTCTTTTTCCTATTCAAGAAGAAGAACAACTTCGTATGGACTCCGGAGTGCCAATAGGCCTTGGAAAAATTAAAATGATATCTCTCGAGCCCACCCCTGCTCCATACTCTTAAGGAGGATGAAACACTCTACTTGTATTTAGCCGTGTCCGAGGTGGCGGTAAGTGGCGTGTTGATTCGAGAAGAACAAGGTACGCAATTTCCTGTCTATTATGTGAGTCAGACCCTAGGAGATGCTAAAACCAGGCACCCACATTTGGAAAAGTTAGCTTTTGCATTGATAAGCGCATCTAGAAAGTTAAAACCATATTTTCAATGTCATCCTATATGTGTACTGACTACATATCCACTTCGAATATCTTGCATAAGCCCAAATTATCAGGCCAGTTGGCCAAATGGGCCATCAAACTTGGGGGGTATGATATCGAGTATCAGCCCCGAACGGCTATCAAGTCTCAAATTTTAGCAGACTTCGTGGCCGACTTTCTCCTGCCCTCGTACCCGAAGTAGAAAAGGAACTCTTACTAAAATGGGTACATCATCGGGGGTATGGACCCTCTTCAAAGACGGTGCCTCAAATGTGAAAGGATTCAGGCTCGGCACAGTGTCATTAGGCAATCTATCAAAACTTCTAAATTGACTAACAATGAGGCCGAGTATGAGGCCATGATTGCAGGACTCAAACTAGCCAAGGGCTTTGGAGCAGAGGTCATCGAGGCAAGGTGTGACTTCCTTTTGGTGGTAAATCAAGTAAATGAGAGCTTCGAGGTTCGAGACGATCGAATGCAGAGGTATTTAGACAAACTTCAAGTGGCATTGCACCGCTTCAAGGAATGGACACTAGACCATGTACCTCGAGAACAGAATAGCGAGGCCGATGCACTTGCAAACTTGGGGTCATCGGTTGAGGAAGATGATATCATCCCGGGGACCGGTGTTCAACTATTGAGGTCGATAGTCGAAGAAGGACATGCAAAAATTAATTCAACAAGTTTTACGTGGGATTGGAGGAATAAGTACATCAACTACTTGAAGCATGGGAAGCTCCCCACGGACCCAAAAGAGTCGAGAACACTTCGAGCCAAAACATCTCGATTCTCACTTGATGAAAATGTAACATTGTATAAAAGAACCTTCAATGGACCACTGGCGGTGTGCTTGGGACCCGGGGACACCGATTATTTATTACGAGAAATTTATGAGGGAACTTGTGGGAACCATTCTGGTACCGACTCTTTGGTTCACAAGGTGATCGGAGCAAGGTATTATTGGGATAGCATGGAAAGGGATACGAAGGAGTTCGTTCGAATGTGTGATAAATGCCAAAGATTTTCATCGATGATCTATCCACCCGGTGAACAACTCCGTTCGGTCTTATCCTCATGGCCATTCATAAAATGGGGGATGGACATCGTCGTCCCCCTACCAACGACACTAGGTAAAGCTAAATTTATTTTGTTTATACTTCTCAAAATGGGTAGAAGTGCAGGCCTTCAAGAAAATAAGAGAAAAAGAAGTCATCGACTTCATATGGGACCACATCATATGTTGGTTCGGAGTACCGGCCGAAATAGCATATGACAATGGGAAACAATTCATCAGCAGCAAAGTAACAAAATTCCTTGAGGACCATAAAATCAAAAGGATTCTATCAGCACCTTACCACCCAAGTGCAAATGGTCAGGCCGAGTCCACAAACAAAACCTTCATTCGAAACATAAAGAAAAGGCTAGAAGATGCAAAGGGGAAATGGAGAGAAGTATTGCACGAGGTGCTATAGGCATATCGAACGATATCAAAGTCGAGCACGGGGAGGCCCTATTTTCTTTGGTATACGGGTCCAAAGCATTGATCCTAGTCGAGGAACCTAGCGTCAGGTTTCAGCATGCCATTGAGGACTCAAATCACGAAGATATAAACACTTCTCTCAAACTACTAGATGAAAAACATGAGGCTGCATTAATCCAAATGGCCGCGCAAAAACAAAGGATCGAAAGGTATTACAACAGAAGGACGAACCTTCGATATTTCAGAGTCGGGGACTTAGTCCTAAGGAAAGTCACTCTCAACACTCGAGACCCAAACGAAGGGAAACTAGGCCCCAATTTGGAAGGACTGTAATGTGTCCTCGGAGTCGTAGGGAAAGGATCCTACAAACTTAGCACAATGGAAGGCGAGCAACTACCGAACAATTGGAATGTATCGTTTCTCAAACGCTATTACTGCTGAGGTATGACCTTATCCCCTTTCCCATTTATATTCAAAACTAACTCCTTGCAGATGTTTGATTGGAAACATCGAGGCACCTTTCAGCTCGAAGACCTTAGGTTTTAAAGCATGCATTGCACTCTTTTTCCCTTAGATCGGGTTTTATCCTAAATGGATTTTACCGGCAAGGTTTTTAACGAGGAAACACCTATATTTTACCTATGGAATATTCAACAAGTATTCAAGGCTTCTTTTTAATCAACCTCGAACACTGGGGGGCATCACCCTCGAAGGGCGCAGTCTCGAAGAAAGCAATTCATGACAAGAAGGGCCTAGATAGGGGAATGTTGTAATGGGACAAACGGTTAAATGAACCGTGTCCATGTAAAATAGTCGAGCCCCCAGTGACAAAACATGTACACATGTATCAATTATTCTTATTATATCGAAACATTTTGTGCCTTCAAAGAAGTCTACAATTTTCACATTTAACGACTCAAGGGCCAAAAACTCGAATGCACCCGAATACTCGGGGACTGTCATCCACAATCGACATATCGAGTCATTAAACACTCAAACTTATAAGACCTCAAAGAGGCACATTCGAGCTCACAATACCTCAAAGAGCCATACTCGATCTCACAAGACCTCGAAGAGGCATCCCGTCGATATTAAGGCCAAGGCCGTCACATTCGGGGACTAAAGGTTACGGCCATATAAAATACTACGGTCATATGAAAAGACTACAGCCGAAATAATGTGGCTCGGAGACATTCGACTTCCGCCATAAAACTAAAAGGCCTTCATATACTTTGAAAAGAACCGGTTAAATCAGGCTACCCTCGACAAAAGAAAATTATAAAGGGCTTCGATAAAATCAGCCCTCGAATAATGCGAAGACTTCGATAGTATCAGCCTTCGAAAAAACTCAAGAGGTGTTCGTTTATCGTTGCATATAAAATTACAAACAAGGTTCAAATCAATCAAACCTTCAGAAATCAAAAAGTACATGCTAAGGCATACCAAGAATTTCACTAAGTCTTTAGCCAGAAAGAGGGATAAATTTATAGCCACTTTAAAGGCTGAATTGGCCCTACATAAAGATCCTAAGGGCCAAACCAAAAGAGCCTAAGGGTCAACCTAAAAGAGCCTAAGGGCCAATCTAAAGAGACTAAGGGCCGATATTTGAAGAGCTTAAGGCTGAAGCACACCATGCTCGAGACCTTACCTAGCTCGAGCTCAAAAGTCCCGAGCTAAAACTTAGCTTGAAGATCGAACCCTAAGTGGTAACCTATTATTGATCGTTGATCAAAACACAAAACTCGAGGGTCTACTCTACCCCGAATTTGAATCAACACTAAGATATTATAGCATCAAAAATCAAGAAAATTTTGAAGAAAAATTGAAGGCAAACAATCAAGGAAACTCCTTCCCCTTTTATATATACAAAAGATATTACACAGGAGTCCTACAAAGCAAAAAATTACAAAAAGATAGAAAAAATTCTACCTACGCTAGAGGGGCATCTCCCCCCCCCCCCGGNGATATTACACAGGAGTCCTACAAAGCAAAAATTACAAAAAGATAGAAAAAATTCTACCTACACAAGAGGGGCATTACCCACGGGACCTGTCACTCCCCCGGGACCAGCCTCTTCCCCGGGGGTAGCTTCTTTGACAACCCCCTCCTCTTCATCATCTTCGACGTCGTCATCATCGTCAGAAGAAAGGACAAATTTGGCATCAGGCTCATCTGCCTTAGCTTACTCTATCTCCTCGGAAAGATCGAAGCCCTTAGCATGGAACTCTTCGAGGGTCTCCCTCCGGGATCGGCATCGGGCATAGTCATTGCTTCTTTTCTCTCGGTCGG